TTCTAATTCAGGCTGAAAATTTTAGTCACTTAAAAAAATATATGTAGTTCATTTAAAAATCACTATTACTACTATAAATTACCAAGTTTCAGTTTTTTTTATATAATCCACATAATGTCTAACTAACTACTTGCAATTAGTACTCACCACAACACTTGTTGAGTTGAGTTTATATTTTTATTTTTACGATATTTTTCGCTTACACATAAATCAAATTAAAATGTATTGTTTTACTCCGTACTGTAAAACACCCAATTATGCGGTGATCTGTGATGCACTCAGTGAATCTATTCGTGCTTTTTGCAAAAATGCACTCAAAAATTAATGGTCCTAGGGAAAATATAGTAAACAACATGTTTATAAATGGCACTAGATACGATCGAAGTGCAGCACACCGAGTGTCTAATAAAAGAGTTGATGCATAATATACTATTAAATTAATTAATTAATTAATTAAAATTGAACTAAAACAAACTATTATTATTATTATTATCAGAAAAAGAGGTACATTTTAAATTATCCTGATGTTTATATATGGCTTAAGGAAAACGTCAGCCCGATCGACATTTTGAGCGTTAAATAATGTTTAACCTCCCGAAATGCAAAACCGAAAGAAAAATTTAGCGTTCTCGCTCGTCTGTTGTTGATTTTACATTGGCGAAGTTGAAAATGGAAATTTTGGAATAACCAAACGTGTTTTGAAAAATTAAACTTCACATATGTACCCTTTACCCAATGAATTTAAATTTATAATTTTTGATCGGTGGGTTTATTTGAATGCATATAAAGTGTTTCGACGATTGTTTTAAGCTCCTTATACCATTGGATTTTGTCAGGGCTGTTAAAATAAGATACGACTATTGTTTTAATTTCTTAAAATCATACATGTTAAGACGCATCACATATGATATTGCATTGCATTGCAATGGCGTGAAAGGAAAGTGAGGCAAATTTTACAATAAAGACCGGTATTGAGTATTCTTGTCTTTATTTTGTTGATTTATAGAAAGGGGTGTTGTTGCTGTTGAATTACTTATTTGCCGATATAATTCTTACTAAAATCGTTTACATAATTATTCAATGATTAAACAATAGTGTCATCAAGTATTTGTAAAAAAATATTATAATATATCTTCTTAAAAAATCTCCTAAAAAACATATGCAAATTGATATACTTAGAAATTCAAGGTGTTTAAGTATTTTCTAAAGTTTTAAAATTGATTAGTTAGTTGTAGCAGTATCTGTTTTTTTCACGAGTATCATTTCTTAAAATAAACATTTCTATTTTATTTCTTGAAGAAGCTAAAAATAATTGGAGATACTTGGGACATTACTACCAAAATTATTATTTTTAAATATTGTTTCTTTTTAAGGTATTTGAAATGTCGTTTGTGCCCCCTCTTAAGACTGTGCATTGTTGTAAAATCTTTGATTACGGTTTGATTTTGATAATTTTTTTTGTTGGATAGATCTCTCAAAAACGCACTTAAACCTTATGTGTCTTATTATATCAACCTGAATTCATTACTAACTGTGACTCAGATTTCTTTAAGTGTTAACGAATTCTTATTCAGGACTACATAAAACCTAACTATGCTAATTTCCATGAAGTTCCAATACAGGGTGCTCGAAATATCGCGGGCGCCTCGCTTAAGCATTACTCTTGTAGAATGTTTGTTCATGGCTCGATTTTGATAACACTTTTTTGTTGAATGGATGTCACAAAATTAAATATAATTAGAGAGAGATTAGAAATGAAAATAACAGATATATTAAAGTTGGTTGAAGTCGGCATATTGTTGCCTTTGTAAAACCAAGTTTGCCATGGAGAAGCGAATATTCGACAGTGAAATTCTTTTTTTACATCTTTCGAATACTAAGATTTATTAATGCTGTAATTTTAAGATGATACTAAAGAATAATGTCCCTTAAAAAGTCTTTTTCAAGGTAAACGGAAGCAACGTTTCCTTTCTCTTTAGTAAGATCTATCCAGCAAAAAATTATTATCAGGATTGAGGCATAAACAAAAATTCCACAGGAGTAATGCTGAAGCGAACTTCATGCAAATTAGTTTAGTTAGTTTTTATGTAGTCCTGAATAAGAATTCTTTCACCCTTTATTCTTAAAGAAATCCCTTTGACATTTGACATCAAAAATTAGTCCCAGTTTGCCGTGACTTCAGGTTGATGTAATAAGAAACATAGATTTTAGTGCGTTTTTGAGAGATCTATCCAACAAAAAGAAATTATTAAAATCAAACCGCAATCAAAGGTCTTACGCCTTAAGCGGGGCGCAAACGATATTTCAAACACCCTGTATTGAAACATTATAAAAATTGGTATAGTTATGTTCTAAGTACTTCTGAATAAGAATTCGTTGTCAATTAAAAAATGCCTAATAGTACTTCTCTCTTCCCTCTCTTTTGTTAAAGTCTCCGGTGGCCATAACTTTAAGTTGAAGCAATAAGCAAAAAAAATTTTAGTGTGTTTTTCAGAGACTTATCCAACAAGGGTGTATAGTTCTTGAGTTAAGTTCTTAAGTCTCTATATACAAGTATATATTATCATGCCATACAAATAATAAAATCATTTATTTATAAGTATAATAACTCGAGTTATTATGTATTTATAAAACAAATTTGGACCATGTGATAAGTAATGGTATGTAGACTTACATCTTAATGTATTTATTAACAACAAAATGAAATTATGAATAGGTATTTTACATACACAAGATTAATTTTTAGGAATTTCTTATTACACTTATCTGGTATTAGTGCTAACGTGTATAATAAAGAAAAGCTATGGTCTGTTCATAGATATAAGAAAGTGCCCAATTGCTTTCGAATGGGATTATCCAAGGGTGGTCATTAACATACCATGCAACAAGATTATTGCCTAAAGTTTCGGAATTTAAATTCACCTGTGTTTAATATTCTTTGATTTGGTATACTACTTGGTTTAAGTTTATTAGTGGTCATTCTTATTTCGTGTGTAATATTATATTGAGACTAATGAAGTTATAAACAATGTTTATTTGACTCTCATTGAACGTCGTGCTAGCAAGCAAGCATCTTTAGAAGAAACGGCCACATTGACGAAAATTCCAACATCAACTGTATGGTAAATTGTGAATAATCCCATTTCAGCGAGGAAAAAAAGAAGCGATGCTGACATTTTCTCGAGTGTAGATGAAATTGATCAAGATATAATACTTGGATAAAACCTGGTTCGACACTTATGATACCATGAAAAGGGTTGGGTTGACTCAATTGATAAGTGTAAAACAAACTCGCCATCAAAAAGAGGAAAAAGAATAACTATTTTTCATGCTGGCTCTAAAGATGGTTCAATTCCAAATGGACTTTCTCTGCCTGCGAGAAATATTAAAGAATCTTCTCTGGATTACCATGAAGACACCACCGCTGATTTATTTGAAAGTTGGTTTAAAATCAAACTGGTTCCATTGTAATGTAGACAGTTGACTAAAACCCCTTCCTCATGTGACAAGCAACAATCCGAAACTACATGTATAATAACGACATTTATTTTCACGAAGATTATACCAAAAAGCAATTAATTGATGTTCTATAAAGCTTGAACCTACAAAAGGAATACGTCTGTCATAATTATGCAAAAAATCTAGGGCATACAGTTTTAAGGCTTCAACCTTAGCACTGTATATTTAATCCCATTGAACAAGTTTGGCACCAACTGAAATCTGCCGTTCGTCGTAACAATGTTTTTCCCCGTATTAACTCCAATGTCCTCAAACTTATAGAAACGGAAGTTTTTAACATCCCTCCACAAAGTTAGGCAAATTCTGTTAAACATATAGAAAAAGCAGAACAATCCAGTATATCCATATTGCAAATAATATAGAACAAACAATAATTATAACAGGCGATGATAGCCATAGTGATACTGATATAATATTTGAATAATTTTAAGTAATTTAAGTAGGTATTAAAAATAATTTGTAATTTTGTTGTAGATTGAAGAAGATTGACATGAAGAAATAAATATTGTTTAGTATATTTCCTAACAAAACCCCAAATAATTAAATTCTAAGCAAAGTACGGATGTGTTCGATCATATTTTATTCTTACATCTTGCCCGGGTCTTTCCTTAATTCGTATCAGTTAGTCACTTTCTTATATCCATGAACAGACTTTACCCATTTCCCCTAAATAAAATTTTCTCCACAAAATTGATATTGGTTGCATTACCGGACCCACTCCGGTTTAGATGCAGTTCACTGACGCTCACGTACTAACCAAAACGACCGGAAACATCTGGCGTGGCCAATCAGCGAACTTGTAAGAAAGTTAATCCGAGTTTTCGTGTTCCCCGACGTAACATTAAATGGTAGTCGAATACCGCATCTAAGCCCCAAAAAGTTACGTGATTTTTAAAGTTGCACAACTGCTGCGGTTATATCGGCAAAAGTCCGATACGGAAGTTCGGAGAGCTCTTACGACTATACTTTGGTAAATTATTAAGGTATTTAATAAGCAACTACATATTTAATTTTCCACGTTTGAAACTCATAAAGTAGGACTTGATTTCTTTTTAATTTTCAACAAAACGGGGAATCGATTTGCTGTAAATAATTTCCGGTAAATTATCTCAAAGTACACACCGCGAAACCTCTGAAAAGGTTTTATGTCGTAAAACCATCTTATTGCCTCTCATAAAGAGTTGTTTACGCAAAAAACGACCCCAAAGTATCCCATCCTAATTCGACGACTACGGCGAACTCCCCCTCATTAAAAAAAAGAATTTTCATTTAAAGTCGTTACGATTCCCTAAAAGAGCCTCTGGGGAACATAAAATTAATATCGCAGAAAGTAAAAATATGTTTTCTTTCCCGCTTATTTGGCCGACGGTGCTTATTAAATAAAGTTTCTAATGGGTGATATTTTTAGACGCGCTTTCAAGAAAATCTTAACATTGAAGTCTGCGTGATTCACAAAAAATGCAACTTACATTCTGTTTTAGGGACCTAAGATGATTCCGGATGCGACCTCAGTGACAAACAGAATTTTTAGTTATTGACATTATCCCTGACAAAGTGACCTAAAGTCTTCTTGTTCAAGATGTAGTTGGATCGTCTGCGTGTGCTGCTCTTATTTAAGGTAAGAATTTTTGTGATAGACATGAAATACTACAGTAATTTGTGTAACCCGCATTGCGATTGATAATTTTATCCATTTGTTATATTTGCTGTTGAATAATATAATTCTTAAAATTTTTCGGGTTGGTCAGTTTTCGAAAGAGGTAAATCAAATTAATGCAGCTTCGAAACCACGTATTGGAAAAGAAATAAAAGAGATGTTTGTGATTCGCTAATTGTTTGTTATTCTTACTCTGGCAGAAGTTGTTTTTCTTTTCATTTGTTTTTCATATAATAGAACAAAAGTACGCAGTGTGACCACAGAGTGACGGAGTTTATTGTCTAATCGAGGTCATCCCCGAACTTTATTGAAAAAACCCTAATGTGTAAAGATAAAGATAGATTACAAAATATACAGTACATACAATATACGTATTTTTTAATTCAGCTTGCTATCGGTCCATTTCCAATGTTTGGAATTTATGGCGTGCGCGAAAGATTCAAATTCAAATTCATATTAAAAAACAATTTATTTCCATTTAGACTTGCGTATACAATATTCTAAAAATTTAAAAAAGTAATGGTTAAACATTGCATAAAACAAACGTTAATTTAATAAATTACGGCCACAGAAGCAAAACTCATTTAAGCTGTAAAAAGCATGACGCAGTAACTATCTCTTTCCAGAATATTATTATTTTCACAACGTCACTCTTTCACTGAAGGAGACAAATAGTTATAAAGTTTCCTAGCAAGATAATTATGCAATCAGCCACAATGTATAATTTATGACTGAAAATTTCCTTATCAAAACTAACTCTTGACTGTTTACGTAGGTTAGAATTTTCAAGTGACTCATATATATTAATTCATTTTAACATTCAGAGAGACTTAACAATATCTATTCCCTCCTGTCGAAGCAGCAGTTTAACAATTTTACTGTCTTTATTTAAAATAAATTGTCATAAAAACATATATTTTTTCTACTCTCTTCTGTAAAATACCTAATTATACTCCGACCTAGGGTACGATAAGCGTCACTTTACCTTGTGAGTTTCTTGTCCCATGGATCTGAACCTCTTCGGACATTTCCGGAATATTACCAGAGCACTCGGATGTCTTCGGAGATTTTACCGCACGGCTTTAATTTTGACGTTTGTCAATTCTGAAGGTCATGTCAGTGATTACATTCTTATTGTTTTGCAAAAATGGACCCAAAGACTAACGGTCGTAGAAAAAGTATAGTATGCAAAACATTTAGTAAACTTTTTAAGTCACTATTAAGCACTCTCTCCTCTGCGCTCCGCTCGTGCCTAATAAATTCGTAGTTCATATGCCGTTTACCGCACTTGTTGTATAAAACACTATTTTTTAAGACAGTTATAATTGCCTTTTTGCACAAAATATTAATGTCACCGATGTTTCCTTCGTTAAATTAAATTAAATTTGGTAGCCAAAATGTTTAAATTCAAAATGAGTAGATTTCTTTACATCGTAGGCTTATCCTATCGATTTGATCGCTTTTTATTTTCAGTGATAACGATCGATTTTGGTTTTTCAAATATTTTTGCGATTTTAAGAGATTACGTTTTTTGAATTGTTTTTTAAGACTTTGTGATATGTCTAAAAAATTATTTAGTATTATCTAGTAAAGAAAAAATGTTATGCTTTTGGTCCACCTTGAATGGAAATAATACTGCGATTTATTTGGTGAGTATGGCTAAAATTAAAATGTCTGCCAACTGCCGAATATAAGTGTTTGGCTGAACAAAAAGCGATCTCAAATGATTTGGAGAAAAACAATTAAGTGTGCGCAGAGAAATCGATTTAGGTTAAAATAAGCGAATTTACGAATTGACAGTTGTAGCGGCAGAGCTATCGGGGTTTGTCAGTTGCGATATAGTGCATTACGGGCTCATTTTAATCCCCAGATGATGTTTCAAAGCGTATTCGTCCCGAATGCGGGCCAGGAAAGTTTTTAGCTTCCCGTTCGAACCGACTCAAATTATACTGTACGTAATTAAAAGCGGATTAGTTTCGACGGAGAGACGCGAAAAACTCTAATGGGTTCCCATGCGCTTACCTCGAACGTTTTTTAGTTTTATTCAGAATCGCTGGGGATAACCCTTTGACAGGAAAATTCTTTTGTGTAATAAGAAAATCAAAATTATTCATCGTTGCTACATGAGACGGTGAAAAGCTTTATAATCATTTTAGATACTTATTATTTTTTTGAGTTTTCACAAGTAATTCTGCAAGAAGCGATCTGCAAAATATATCGCCTTAAACCATAAATTTACTAAGTCGCGTTTCCGAATAGAAATTTTAATTTGAGCTGTCACTCTCGCTTTAGCAAGAACGATAATTCGCCCGAGCAGGAAAATTTTGTAATTAGTTACCAGCCAACTTCGTTGACGATCCACTTTTGTACGTGGAACTTTATTTGATGTAAATTTAATACAATTTGTTCAACTCGCATACGCCAAATGATAAAGAAAGTTTCCAAACGTTCGGAGAATCGGAGACGCTGCCATTCGTGACGTCTGTAAACGCAGAAAAGTGACGATAAAAGCCAATGTAAGTGTTTGTATATGGGACCGGACGTATTTGCGGACCACTAAAACATCTTGAGTATGTCGAATAAAGTAAACGCTTGAAGCAAACGGAAAGATAAATCCGAAATCTTTTTTTGCTGCAAAAAAAAATTAAAATAAATGGATCAATTTATTTTTCAGTGAATTCCAAAAAATGGTTATTTCCCTTGCCTTAAAAATAGTGGGTCGGAATAGTAGCATTCATTTTTCGCATGATAAAGAAAATTTTGCGGTTAGAATTTTTCGAAATAATCTTTGCACATTATCAATCTGCAATAATCTTTTGTTTGTGTTTGTAAACTACAAATTCTTCAGATCTGTTATGTTCAAAAAAGACATGGAAAAACATTGATTTGTAATGGCGCAATGGATTGCAATGAATGAAATTTTGTATTCTTCCTTGTACAGAAAACCCTAAAATATTATTTGTAATTGTTTTTAGATACGTAGCGAATTGCCTGTGATAAACATCCGATTTTACTAAAATAATTAGTTCATCTTCTATCTCCATTTTTTCTAGATTAATCAATGATATAGGCACAGGACAGGTTAAAAAAATGACTAGCGGGGTAATTTTATTTCCATATTTTCTTGGATTTGATTCCTTATAGAGCTATTAAAGTAATCTTTCGATTGACCTTACCTTTAAGCTTATCTTAGATTGGCAGAATCGAGTCTATTGGGTAGGACTTTTTGTTCGTTTTAGTCTTTGTTCCGATAGATTTGTAGATGTAGGTTTCATGTATTTTTTAAGAAGGGATAATAAGTTTAAAACTTTCAGATCGTTTGGGAACTTTTGGTGACGCATTTACATTAGGTGCACTTATAGTATGTTAGGGCCCGACATCCATTTATAGTATCTTCTAATGTTTCGAACATTTTACCACACCTTCTGTGCTTTCGATAGTGTTTTGTGTCTATTACTTGGGCCTGTACAGCTACAGATTCCTTTTTTATCAAACTGATATCGGTATAGGTAGTTGGGCGGTAGATTGGCGTATACCTAGGTTTATTACTTTTGGTATAGCCATTTCCTCTCTCCTGTTGTTAAGCCACCTTCCTCATTATTCTGCAAATTCTGAACATTATTTGACATATTTTGGGCTTTTTTCATGGAAAATATATTTTACACTACCGCAGTAAGGCTGTAAAAAAGCGAATGGCGCAAGGAATTAGTTTCTGTTCAGAAAAACCGGTCCGTATATAATAAAATACACTTTTACGAAGGTCGGTTTACGTCAAATGGGTGTCGGTAACAATGTTCCGTAACAAAACTGAAATTAAAGCTAAATTTTACGGGAACTTTGGTCGTGAAGGTCGTAAGCGTCACATTTCAGATTGGTTTATTTCGTTCCAGCGCCAGTGTTAGAAAACGATCTTTTTATGCTATGGTAAAAACTTTGACTGCTCTCGTCTGCTTCGAAGAAGTTACAATGTTTTGACGACAAATTGCTTTTCGATTTTATGATGTTGTGCATTCTCACAATTTGCGGGAAAAATAGATGGAACAGATATGGATGAATTTTAGTTAAGATTTAGTACACCATTTTTCGATTGTCCACAAGATTAAAACGAGTAATAACGAAAAGTGCTCCAAAAAATTGCTATAGAGTACTACCGATATTTTTGAGGATGTGATATTTGGTGGCGGGTGCAACGTCTAGCTTAACATTTTAACGATCATAAATATCAGAGAAATCTGATTCAACAGTATGGCTCAAGATTTATTTTTAATAATAATCCAAATATAATATGCATATAAATGGTTGAGATACTTTATGTGAAATATTGTGATCGATGTTTTTTGATAAAAATTATTTTCTTTTCCTGCTTTTTGTAATGAACGAATGTGGTTTATATATATATATATTTTAACGGCTAGTGTTTTGTGTCTTATAACTACTGTGTTGTGCTTTGTTTGAAGGCTATATGCCTTGTAGAAGATATCCCTAAACACAGAGAAGATGCACTATATTTTTTTTTACGTCAGTATACAACGTATTATTGCAGATAGAAATAAAAGTGTTGTATTGCATTGTATTGTTCTAAAGCCAGTTGTTTTTAATTTTGCTTGTTATATAGCAACCATAACCTCAACTTAGTGATGGTGCACAGATAACAAAACAGAAGTCTTACAAAATTTAAGGAAGAAAAAGCATATTTTTTCTATATGAATATTCACCACAAATTCTTATTTAATCAAAGTTGAATCAAAAATGAGTGCATGGATTGAAACAGACTGTAAGTAAAACTAATGAAAATGGGAAGACCTTTTCCTTTAGTTATTGACTGATCTACCATATAAGAGAAACCTCCGCAAATTTGACACTCAGATTGGTGTTTCATGTTCAGTTCGAGATGAACATTGACACCTAGACAGAAACGTGATAATCTTTTGTTCTCTTATTTTCTCGGATGAATGATTAAA